ATATTTTAACAAAAATTTTGTCACAAAAAAATAATATATAAATTTATCACAAAAGTTTAATAAAAAATATTATTATTTCAATACTAATCAATTTTGATTAAAATTAATCAAGTTCAATTAAAATTAATCAGGCCTAAACTAATCTCAAGTTTTATTGAGTTTCACATGTTTTATAGTGCAAAAATTTATTTTTTTAAATATTTCTTATCGATGTTGGATATATTTATAGTGCAAAACCTTATTCTCTTATGTGTTTTTTATCGATGTATGATGCATTGATTAGAGAAAATTGACCGTTTTTAGTGACGAAATATATTTTTTAGTGATAAATTATTTGGTCATCATTGAATGTGCAAGGTATATGTGACCAATATTAGAATTTTGTCATAATTGTAATGCATCATGATGATGATTTTTATTGACAAATGCTTATTTTATCTCTATGAACATTTTTCGGGGACGAAATATATTTTTTATGATGAAATTTTTTGTTCATCATTAAATATGTATGCATCTGTAACTAATTTTTTAGATCTGTCACAATTGTGATAAGTTATAGTGATGATTTCAAAATTCATCACAAATTTCTGTCAGTAAAAATCATTTTTCTTGTAGTGTCTTAATCAAACACTCAAAGGTCATTGAATCATGGGAACACTTACATATTTTATTTAGGAATATGTTGTAAGTTTGATACAACTTAAGGGTTGATTAGGATCATTAATTTATTTAGACCTGTATGGCTTACCTTTTTTTTTTTTGGTATTAACCTCTCGGTATCTGGGAACCACATTAGGTCTCAATTAATCCGGAATCGAGTCGTGTCAAATCCCATTAGGAGGGAAGCTCTCCCAACGCCTATTTCTCCATTCACAAGACTCGAACTCGAGACCTTACTTAAGAGAAACCGAACTCCTTCCACTCGGACTGACATGCCGTTGGTGTATACTTACCTATTTCTATCAAGATTAATCAAGGTTAATAATGCCTTTCTGTTAAGCATCCATAATATTATGGTTTGGGGTTCTATGCAAATGTCATAATATTATGCAAATTTTTTCGTTTTTGGATTTCCCCTAATTGTATATTTTGAATATTAACCAACCAAAAAGAAAAAAAAAAAGAAATTTTATCTATACATACCACAACGCAAATGATAGATAACCAGCACTCCAAACTTTTGCTCTAATATTATCAAAGAGGAGGCACTTAATATCCGAAGTTGATATAGAACTGAAGCCATTGATTGCAACTTGGGCTTCTAAGGTCAATGGATGATCTCTCCACTTCTAAAGCAGCCATGTGCCTTTTTTCCACTGTTAGGGAAAAAGCACTTGCAGTAGCTTCCCATGGCCAAATCTTGGTAACACCACCCTCTGAACCTGACCACAAATCCCCTGAATTGAAGACAAAAAGCTGAGGGTCAAAGAGAGATAATAAACTACCTCACATTCATTTATAAGCCGAGAAAAGTGCATTATGCACCAATTGATAAAGGCAACTATAAGATATCAATTTGGGGGGATGTAATATCAGCCATAGAATATTGCAAAAGGAAATGGGCCGGGTGGGCTCAATGATGAGATGGATCCAGGTAAGAGTAGTAACGGGCCAATATTGGGTGGGAAAAATCAAGAAGTGCAAAGCCCATATCAGATAAGTAAAGAAACCAAAGAAAAATTAAAAGAGGGCAAGCACGTGAGGCCAGGAGCAATAGAATCAGACCTGTTCTGGGAAGACATGGACAGCGACGCAGGGGACTTACCGGAGTGGGCAAAAGTTCTTGAAGGGAAGAAGAGCAAAAAGAAAAAAAGGAAAGTGAAGCTGTGCCGTTCAATGTATATGAAATCTGGCGGGCTTGAAGGTGTTCTGGTGCAGAAGAAGAAGAAGAAGAAGGGAACTCAATCGGTGACAGAGAAAATGACGCAGCAAATCATATTCCAGGCTGATCCAGCGGACTCAGTTGCAGGTGACTCCATAAATGACAGTAATATACAAAACTGCAACAAGGGGATTAGAGTGAAGAGCAAAATTAAAGACTCTGAAGCTTTATGGAGCTATATCAAGGAGTTGGGAGTTGCAATGAAAGGGGATGAGCTACCGGTAATCCGAAGGCTTGAAGAAATGGAGCATCGAGACAAGGAAAGAAGAAGGAAAGATATGGCAACACCGACAACAAGAAATCAGGTGCTTGCTAATTCCCCATGATTGTGCTATCTTTAAACATTAGGGGGTTGGGGGGATGCGGGAAAAAGAGGGAAATTCGTGAGCTGGTGAATAAACATAGACCGGAGGTTTTATTCTTGCAAGAAACAAAAGTAGAAAATGTTGATAAAAGTTATTGTAAAAGGTTATGGGATTCAGATGACATGGATTGGGTAGCAAAATCATCCTTGGGTGCCTCGGGTGGTTTAATTATCATATGGAACAGGGCAGTGCTAAAGAAAGTAAGTGTTTTTGAAGGGGAGGGATACATCGGGATCCAGGGGTTATGGGGTGCTGATGCCTTACCATGCTTTATGTGTAATGTGTATTCCCCATGCGATCTTGAGAGGAAGAGGAGTGTATGGAGAGAACTTGAACAGATGTTTAGGAAGAACAGGGGGTGTTGGTGTCTTGGTGGGGATTTTAATGCTATTAGAAGTTTGCAAGAAAGAAAGGGGGGTAAGAGCGCCAGGAGAGAAGTAAAGGAGTTTGAACAATTTATAGTGAATAACAGCCTGACAGATTTACCATTGCTAGGAAGGAAGTACACATGGTACCAGCCAAATGGACAATGTATGAGTCGTTTGGATAGGTTCTTGTTCAATGATGATTGGATGACAAAATGGCCTGATTTAAAGCAATGGGGACTTGCTAGATCTCTGTCGGATCATTGCCTGATACTGGTAAAAAATGAGACACGGAATTGGGGGCCAAAACCATTCAAGTTCTTCAATGCCTGGCTACATACTCCTGGATTTAGAGACATGGTTGCAGCAAAATGGAAAGAATTTAAAGTTCAAGGATGGGGAGGTTTCATTGTTAAGGAGAAATTAAAGTTGATGAAGGACTTTCTTAGGGAATGGTCTAAGT